CTACCAAAACATGCAACGGTTGGTGTTTTGCTCGTTCAGCACATATGCTGCGTATGGGCAGAAACCAGGCCACAAGTTATATAGTGTTTCATATGTTCAAAACCAATGGCCACTTTTTGGCTTACTTACTTCATAGGTGCTTTGGGAGAGGTTAAATAATTCATAGTGACCGAACTGCGAAAAACGTGGCGCCTCGATAACATTCAACACGTGTCATCAGGAGGACGTTCGCAATCTGATTTGTAGGACTATCATCAGTCAAAAACAATTTTCAAATTCGGCAAGCTCTGTTTAGTAGCACTTTCGAAAGATGAACTCTCTGACGCGCAACAGCTTTGAAAACTTCCCACATCTACCGCAACGCCCATGCTTGTTCAACTTTATGAACATTTTGGTTAAATAGATTGTACGAACACATTTTATGCGCATGACAAGGATATTTGTTTGACGATCAGCCAGAATTTGCAACGTTGTTGGCGTCCGATAGTTCTCGTATCGGTGTCTGTCATCAGGTTGCTTTCCACTGTTTTCATTCTCATCACCGGCAATCGACCCTGAATGTAAGTATTACAGCAGGTCGGGTTCAACATTATTCGGGAATTAGAAACGTTTTTTAAAACCGAATTATACTCTTCTTTTGAGTGTGAAATTGGAAGAAGGCGTGATTTTCTACCGAATAAATGAAAGAATGAATATTTTTATGTATGTTTTCCATGAAATATAATTGAATTTTCAAGGGCATCGAAAATCAATGAAAAAATTGCATACTACGTAAGTAGTCTTTTTTCGGAGTATAGATCTTGCATGCAGCCGAAAATCAGTTCTTTCGAAAGCCGACACCCTGAGGTAACTGGATCATTATAGATTTATGCTACATCATGATTAGTTTTACAACACTACTTAATTTATCTTTTCGAATCGAGAACGCACTTCGAAATTTTGGTTGACATTTCATGAGTTAGCACATCTACTGTACGTGTACCTAGATAGTATTCATAAGCACGTCAGGTGTTGGGTTGATTCAACTACACTACAAACGACAATTTTGCTAACCAACAAGATGGTGCGTTTCGACACGGAAGACAGAGAAGTGGCTGTAAGATCCCATGCCTTATTTCTGGCCCAAGGGTATGTTAACACCATCGTCACAAGACTTAATCACCCTTGACTAGAGAATGTGGACCTAGGTCGATTGGAAGGTCGCAACAAGCTTCAAAATAGCATTGCAGTCCTGAAGGTCTTCGTTGCTTGAGAATGGACGAAGACACCACTGGAGTGCATTAGGAACACTCGCGTCGAGTTCAGATAAAGAATCAAAGTAATCATTGCTAACATTGACTCTCATATTAAATAATTCCTCCCTACTATGAATTCTAATTCTGTTATGTAAACTTTATTTGCTTGTTAGGTCGTTGGTGGCAGTCAGTGAGCCGGGAACGCAGATCTTCGTGATGGGCGTCTAGATCGACATGGCGATTGATGCTTTTCGTGTCAGATTGCCAGACATCGAGGAATTCACGAGCATTTTTGGTGTTTGCCATGGCAACAACTTCAGCGTCTTTTCAGTTGAAGCGATGGTTGTATTCAAGGGCGTGCGCAAACACGAGTGACAATGGGTCACTTCGGTGGATGGTTAGCTTATGCACGTTTATACGCGTCCCAAGTCGTCGGCCTGTATGACCAACATAGTCGCAAGGGCAGTTGGCACACGGAATGCGGTAGATGACATTGCTTTGCTGCTCTTTAGGTATAGCGTCTTTCAATCGGGATAGTGTTGCGCGCACGGTGGACGCTGGCTTGTGGGTGATGAAGATGCCAAACCGGTCTAGTTGTCGGGCGACCGCTTCGAAAATATCCTGCACGTAGGGTAGAGAGTAGAATTTCCGTAGTTCAGCCTTGTGTTTGTCTCTGATGCCTGAGGCATTTTTTTAAAAAGCTGACCGGGTATCCGTTGAGCTGGAATAACCGATACAGGAAAGCGAGTTCTTGTTTAAGTAGATCTACGCTGCTGCAGTAACGATAGGCCCGGTGGAAAAGGGTTCGGACACAGCTCCTTTTATGGGCCGCAGGATGGTTGTTTTCATAATTAAGAATGACGTCAGCACTGAAGTCTTTTCGGTAGACGTTTTTGCAAGGCCACCATCACTTAGTGTTTGGATACTAATGTCTAGAAACGGGAGAATGCCTCCTGTTGCCTTTTCGCAGGATAGCTGCGAAGACGCTATTCAGAGTCAGATGTAGTTGCTCAGTTTTGCAGGTCTTCATGATAACAAGCGTATCATCTACGTATCGGAGCAACATTTTTGGTTTAAAGGTTCGCATAACTTCCTCTTCCAGTGGTTGTAGTACTAGTTCAGCTAGTAGACCTGATATTGCCGAGGCCATTGGTGTACCCCTAACCCGTTGATAAAACTTTCCATCGACTTGGCAGTAGTTATTGAGACAGAGTTTAAGCATCTCCGAAACGTGTTGTGTTAGAATGCTGGTTGGATTATCTTGCAACCGTCGGGTTACGCTCTCAATCACCAGGTCATGTGGTATTGAGGAAACCAGTTCAACCGCATTAAACGATAGAATACATTCATCAAGACTTACTTTCAGGCCTTGGATCTTCTGGAGGAATGTCTGAGAGTTTTTGATGTTATATTGTGATCCATTGTTGAGGTACTTCAGGTGCCTGTATAACCATTTTGTGAGGTTGTAGGTGGGCGATGCAATAAGCGACGCTATGATCATCAACGGCTCACTTCCTTTGTGCGCCTTTGGGAGGCCATATGCATGGGCTATTCGGGGGTCGTTGAGAGTCCTACATCTGGAGTTATCGGGGGTTATGAGTTTCAGTCGAGTGAGCTCATTTACCTTCTTTTTTACAACTGCGACTTGCTTTTTAGTCGGGTCCCCCGCGAGTGGTGCATAGGCTTCCCTGTAGTTGAAGACTTGGTTCGCCTTGTTGAAGTAATCACTCTTTTCCATAACAACTGTCGCGCCACCTTTGGCAGTAGACACAATCACAATACTGTCGTCTGTCTTAAGAGACTGTAATCCTTTTTCTTCATCGATGGGCAAGACTTGGTGTTGCTTCTTTTTTCGAAAGAGACCACTGGCGCAGCTGCGTATGTCGACGTGCATTTCTTCAGGCACAGCAGAGGTCAGTAAAATGGATTCAAGGTTCGCTAGGAAGTTTGTGGGCGCAGCATCAGTGTGGCTGAATTTTGTTCCCTTAGATAGTAGACTAAGTAAAGTGGATGTTAAACTCCTTTTAGAAAGGTTAATAAGTCTTGTCAATCTGCTGGTTTCGTTGACAGGTCGAAGAAGAGATTGCAATTTCATTTGAAGATCGGCTCGTATTTTCATTCTGGCGTCTAAAGCGGTGGCATTTATTCGCTGTAGCACGTCTCCGAACACATTTTCAGGCAATGTTGAGACACACTGGCTTCGGAGGTCGGATATCGTTGCATCGAATCTGCAACTACGACAGTAGACGTCTGATACGATGGCACCCAAAACGCGAAATCCACATTTGCGTGCAAGTTGCCTCCCAGATACATTCGGCAGAGTGGGCTTAAAACGAATAGACTTCGGTAGGATGCAATGATCGCGACATCGATGAAGAAACGTCAGGTGCTCGTAAGTTGCAGCATGTCTCTGAGCAAATTTCTCCCAATGTCTGTTGAGAATAAGCTTCCATCATCGTAGGTGGGTTGCGTAATGCACGTCACAGTATTTAAGGGCTTTTTTTCGTGCTGGCGTTTTGCTGACCTCCAGCGCGCTGCATCACATCGCTTGGCGACTACTGTCATGGCGGCATCGGTTCCTCCTCACCCTTTGTCGGGTGTGGGGAGGGGAGCGGCGTCGGGGTGACCGCGGCCATTGCTCTTGTTTGCATTTTCCGTTGTCCGCCCTCCACGTAAATCGCCTTCGTACCCGTCTGCACCTGTCCGTAGCCGTGTGGACGATGGTTGTTATGCCAGTATTGACGTCGGACTGGGGGGTCCTGTCACTGTCGGGCGTTCTCACCGAGTGCTCGCGTCTGTCTGCGTTCGGACCCAGAACGCGGTCTCCTGGGTTTGCGTTTGTCGCCGGTTGTCCCTTGTTTTCTTCTGTTCCCGATGCCTTTCTGTGCCCGCCCGTGTTCCCGCTTTGTTTGTGTTTGACCACTGCCGTCTCTCCCTGACCGTTTGGTCGCTCCATTGGCCCAAGACGTCGGCGTCTTGGAAGGTGAAGGCATGGCCAAAAGCTGTGCAATGTTCCGCCACCAGCGAGAGCTGCTCCATCATTCGTACCGCTCTTGCGTGCTCGTCCATGCAGGTCTGCAATCTTTTCCCGAGTTCTCCAACGTAGTTTACTTCGCAGGAACTACACAGGATCCGATAGACGACGTTGCCTGTTTCGCCGTGTTGTAGAGGCGTTTTGGTCTCATGGCCAGAAGTCTAATTGTCTCTAGTATGTATAAATATCCACCATGTTGGTTTTAGTAGACCTTGTTTCGTTTATTAATTCCTAGCTACAAAAAGTCTCCCTTTGTGTATTTTCAAGCATACTGATATAATCAAGATGCTTCAGTATTACAAAATGTGCGTTCACTGTCCTTCGTTGTTGATTCGATGGGCGGCGGAATATTTATTTTTTCCATCAGACTCCTAATGTCCATAGTCTGGGATTGGCATTTGTGTCTTCCACGTTCGCAACAAGCATACGTTTGCTTCTTATGAACTCCTGTCGGTCAGATCTGGTTAAGTAGCCGCACCTGAGGTAAACAAGCCCCAGGTCATAACCTATAACACAATTACCTTACGCTTATCCCTAACCTTAGCTTTAATCGCAACCTTAATCCAAACCTTCAACCACAGACCTAAACCCTAACCTATCAGTATTGTATCCATCAGGTGGGACTAAACAACCACATCTTACCCTCCTGTCGGGCCAATGCACCATTTGAGGAATAAAATGCAAATAAAAAACATGAGTGACAGGTGATTGCAGTCGATATTTTTGTATAAATGGGGTGTAGTGAAGTGGGAGAGGGAGTAGGAGGAATAGGTTGGAGGGAGAGGGAGGGAGCAGTTGCTGCTGCTGCTGCTGCTGCTGCTGCTGCTGCTGCTGCTGCTGCTGCTGCTGCTGCTGCTGCTGCTGCTGCTGCTGCTGCTGCTGCTGCTGCTGCTGCTGCTGCTGCTGCTTACAGACGCCAACGCAGTGGCTTAGAGCTGTCCAGCGAAACCCTGGTTAATACACGGAAGGGTTTGCTGGTTTCCACCCGATGCTGGAAATCAATGCATGCTTTTAATTTCGTCATTTTACATCTTTGTCACGCATTTCCCTAATATTTTAAATAGACGTGTAGTCTTGTCAACGCTATAATATACCACACAGGAGCGAGTAAAGGAGTAAATACTCATACCTTCTCGTGACCTTCTTCTTGTAAAACCGAGTGGTTCGAAAATAACACCTGGATTTTTTTTATCTATTTTGACCCCTGTGTGAAAAACTCGACGACCTGGATTTTCGTTACTGCGGAGTGAAACACTTTAGCGAAGACGTCTTCTCAGGAATTTACCCACCATGTTCATTCCTTTTTCAACCTGTGGATGTTGAAACGCTACCTACCCAACGCCGTAATGTCTGTCTTCAAGACAAGGATAGGCCACTTTTGCACCACCCAGGAAGAAGCAAATGCTTTTTATTACGCCTTTATCAGACCTCCTGCTGGATTATGTCCCCTTAGCGTGACACGCATAACCTAATCCCACTGATAAATAGCTGAAAAGTACTCACTTCTTGGGTTCCACAGGTGACGGACAATTAAAAGTAGCGATCATAATGATGGTGGCATAATAGCATTACAAGATATCATAATAGCAGCACATGTACTGGCTTAAAACCCAGACACACGTGTTTTGACGAGATTCTGTTGAGATTCGTTGGGTCCGCCAGCATTCGTCACGCGCTTTCTGATAGATGATCCAGTTCAGAAATTGTCATTTTTTAATTTTTTTAAATGAACTTCTTACTTTATGCAGATCAGTTTAAACTGGGGTCTATGCGCGCAGACCGAAATTTGATGTAGGAATAGTTAACTCGACGTCCATCGGTTACAGCTGAATGACCGCGTAATATTTATTAACTTGCAACCGGTAAAATATATTAATGTTGGAAGATATCAAACTAACTGAACATGAACTAGTTAAAAGCACGGACACGCGTTTTTCGCCGATATTCGGCAGCGGCATGACACAGCTGCGAAAGGTTAGGCTCTTCAGTGGGTCCCCCAACTTTCCTCATGTGCACTTATAGACCTTAGTATAAACTAGTTTACTCCAAGTTCGCAGTGAATTTCTGAGCAAATTAAAATCAACCGTATAAAACGCCTACGTATTTCAATTGTGTTTATGATCATCAAAGTGTGGGAACTATTGATTTAAATACAAATTCCACAATGCACATGAAAGCGAATAAAACAAACGTCGACGCCTGTTTGCGTGAGTCCATTTAGTTCCTTGCATCTCTCTAATATAAGACTTCAGATGATAATATTAGAGACCGTGGTTGGGCATCTGAATAGCGTTCGCCTGCGACTCGTTTGTAAAAAGGGTGCAAGAGATCCATGACCAAAGATCCCGGGTTCGAATTTAAGTGATCCACACTTGGGGTTGGGTATGACTGGCTCATGACGGCTATTAAGCCAGAAATGGCCATTCCGGTCTCCCTTGTCTTTGTCGGTATCATCTCATCTATGTCTACCAATAGTCGCTGTGTAACTGCCTGCGAGTTTTCTAGTATGAGCCCCAAGGCACAACGCAACGAGCGTGATCCGTAACCCGATCGGCGAGCGCCCACTGTCATAATATATATACATATATGAAAGAAGGAAGTCCTGGTTGCACCAACCCGTCGTCAGCCAAAGTGAAAAGTGAGAGGTGGCATTGTCACACTGCTGGTTGAGGACGCAGACAGAGAGGTAAGCAGACGACCTTGTGAGGGGGAGGTGTGCATTGTGTTGTGATGGGTGCGGGAGGTGAGGATAGGTGTTGGAATCCCTCCTGCTAACCTCATCCATCCCTGAAGACATGCGTGCGGACATACGCAACTGTGCGACCGGCCTCCTCCGGAAAAGAAGACACCAGCAACGGTGGTGCTACTCTCATTATGGACAAGACTGACTATGTCAATAAGGCCAACCAGGCCTTTAATGACAGAGAGGCCTATACCCCAATTGCTGAGGATCCGACGAAAAAGCAGGCCGCATCTATAAAGAAGAAGGTGAACGAGCTCACTCGTAAAAAGTTCATGAACCCCGCGGACTCCAAATTTCTGACTCCCAACGACACCCGTATCACACGTGCTTATGGCCTCTCAAAGGTGCACAAAGCAGGTGCCCCGTTGAGGATCATAGTGCCTCTCATTGGATCGCCTACATATAACCTTGCCAAGTGGCTGTACAAGCACCTAAAGCATCTCACGAATTAATGGCAGTACAGCATCAACAACTCTCATGCTTTCCTTCAGAGGATCCAAGGCCTTAATGTAAGCCCTGATGAATGCCTTTTATCGTTTGATGTAGTTGCTCTATTCTCCTCAAAACCGCATAACTTGGCCATTGAGAGCGTAGCTCGACGCCTAGAGGGAACTCCGATTGGCATTCCAACAGAGCACGTTTAAGACATGCTTGGGCTTTGTCTTAAGAACTATTGTCAATTCGATGGCAAGTATTACCAACAGGTCAAGGGCACCCCCATGGGTTCACCGATATCGGGCCTACTCGCCGAACTAGTCTTACAAAGACTAGAAGAAGCTGTTATTCAAGGCATCAGACCAAAAATGTGGCTCCGCTACGTAGATGGTACATTCGTAGTCATAAAAAACTGCGAAGTTGAACGACTGCACCAGAGTCTTAACGGTGTTTTCTCCGCCATACAATTCACACGCGAAGAAGCAACAGGGGACATCCTCCCTTTTCTTTACGTCAGTGTACAAAGACTGACTGATGGCAATCTCGCAACCAGCGTCCACAGAAAAGACTCCAGCGCCGAAATCATCCTCAACTACGGGAGTAATCATCCTGCGGCCCACAAAAAAGCTGCGTCCGAACTCTTTTTCACCGAGCCTTTCGGTACTGTAGCAGCCAGTATCTACTTAAGAGAGAGCTAGCCTACTTATACCAATTATACCGATCTAACGGATATCCGAATAGCTTCGTGAAAAACTGTCTCAGACGTAAGAGGCAACCACAAGATCAGAGTTCAAGTGGAGAAGCGACACAGAAGAAATATTATTCCCTGCTCTACATGCGAGGAATTTCTGAAATGATGGCCTGACAACTAAACCGGTTTGGCATCTGCATTGCCCACAAGCCGGCGTCCTCCTTACGCGCAGCACTATCCCGGGCAAAGGATCCCATACCCAAAGAGCGACAAAGTAACGTCATTTACCGCATCCCGTGCGCTAACTGCCGTTGCGTTTATATTGGTCACACGGGTCGACAACTTGGGACTCGCATTAATGAACACAAGTTAGCTATCCGCCGACGCGACCCCTTATCTCGCGTGTTTGCCCACGCTCTTGATTGTGACCACCGTTTCAATTGGGACGGTGCCGAAGTGATCGCATGACTAACACCAAACATGCACGGGAATTCCTCGAAGCTTGGCACTCCGGTGCAGATAGCATTAACCGCCATGTTGACCTAGATGTCCACTATGAGGGTCTCCGATCACGGTGGACTGACTGGCGCCCACCTTAAGAACAACAACAGCTAATGCGTGCCCGGACATGCATGATCTCGCCGACACGCCATTCCTACCACCCTGCCCTACTCCCCCTCCCTCCCCCAACACGGTGAGCCACATCTTGGACCCACAACACCTATCTTCACCTCCCGCACTCACCACAACACAATGCACACCTCCCCCTCACAAGGTCGTCTGCTTACCTCTCTGTCTGCGTCCTCAACCAGCAGTGTGACAATGCCACCTCTCATTTTTCACTTTGTCTGACGACCGGTTGGTGCAACCAGGTTGAAAATTTACGAGTAAAACTCTATTTCCGACGGACTTCCTTCTTTCATCATATCATCTCGGAATGCATACTACTTCAGTTATTCAATATATACATATATATATATAGGCAGAAGGGTATTACCGACAAAGACAAGGGAGACTGGAATGACCACTTCTGGCTTATTAGCCGTCGTCAGCCAGCCATACCCAAGCCCGAAGTAAGGAACACCCGAGCCTTGAACTCGCGACCTGTTGGTTTAGAAGTCCACGCCTCTACCCACCGGGCCACGAGCCCGTTGCCCTGTCGGTTTTCGATCGGGGATATACAATGGTAGGGGCGCTCACCGATCGTTCATACAAAACTCACTCGTTCCGTTGTGCCTTAAGGGCTCTCTCTCGAGCCCTTGTCTTTGTCGGTAATACCATTCTGCCCGTATATCATGCGCCGCTGTGCGGCTGCCCAATGATTCCTGAAATCCTGACAATTAAATTTTCACAGAAATTACTCGAAGTTAGTTGTAGTACCGCCGACCTTGCGCTGAACTGCAGCGAAAGGGGATTCCCCAGTGGCTTGCAGAATTTCAGTCACCGCTACGCACGAAATGATCACGCATCGATCATTCTGCTTCCAATTCACATACACCAAGATCCAAAATACACAGTGTGAAGAAATGACATGTCGGATGTTTAGAGCCACAAGCACTTTGTTTTCGACTGCACACAGGCGTTCTCCAACCATGTGTTTGTCATCCATATTTCAGTCCACAGTGTCTGCCATTTGTAAAGTTCAGTCTGCGCCTTAATCTGTGAAAGCATGTTAACTTGCGGTTTGTGTTGAAGTTAAATTTTCCACTTAAAAAACAAAAGTAGAACGGGATTTCTGTTTTGCGAATCGCCACTACGTGAATTGTTAAGCCGTCTCGTTTGTGAATACAGCGACGATAGAACATCGCTGACACATTTAATAAACAATAATAGGGAGTTGCTCACCGATTGCTTTTTTACGGAAGTTACTTGTACCTCGTCACTCTCCCTCTCTCTCTTGAGCCCAGCCAACAGCCGTATAGCAGCCCATTATATGGACAGAATGGGATTGCCATCAAAGACAAGGGAGACTGGAATGCCCATTTCCGGTTTATTGACCACCCTCAGTCGGCTATTTTTCACTCCGAGGCGTGAAACACCTTGGGGTGGATGGTGAGGCCTTTTGGCTAACAATCCAACGCCTCTAATTGATGAGCCATGGGTTCCTTGCCTGTCGTTTGCTGTCGAAAATAAGCAGTGGTAGATGAGGATTCACCGATCATTTTTTTACGGAACCCACTCGTCCCGTTGTGCCTTTGGGGTCCTTGTATGGGATCGAGTCCCAGATTTTCCACACTTTGGGGTTGCGTGTGGCTGGCTGGCAACAGATAATAAGCCAGAAATGACCATCTCGGTCATCCTTGTTTTCGTAAATTATGACAGTCTGCCTACTGAATACTTCCAGGCCTAGAACCGCATAATCCCCAAGCGGTGGTCATCCAAGTGTTGCTGTTTGCATTGCAACTGTCAATAATGAAATCACGGTGATGAAATCAACCCGCAGGTATTGCTTGAGAGTACATAAACTGGCGATGTCGATAAATGCGAGAATTGGCAGTCGGGTACAGTGATTTTGACCGTGCAATCAGAATGTACCGGGGATAAGCTACTGTCGCATTATTGTGGTGACTGATTGTCCTTCTCGTTAAAAATCAATGGACGCGTCATGGTTTTTGTTTAGTCCCATAAGATTTCAAATTTGCTAAAACTAAGGTTCCAGCAACGCTTTGAGCAGATACTAGAGAGGATTTGCATTCAACCGCGCATTTCTATACAACCACAAGGATATTTAGTATTCAGTATTTTACTAACACTTAGGTTTTGGTGTATTTAATTTTACACATGGTGCACAACGCGGCACGGAAATAATTTTTTAATCGAATAAAGATAAAAAGCCAAACCAATAGGTAAAAATTTGGAAAAATGTCCATCCGAAACCAAGCGTTGTTTTGAAACATTCTAAAATAAAAAATATCATATGGCGTGAGTTATCACATGGCAGTTTCCTTACTATCCAGGGATAGTGCATACATGAATGGAATTTGTACGTCATTATTTTTAATGTATTGCGCGCTGTTAAAAACATCACTGACACATGCGGACTGTGCGACTAGAAACAAATCGGGCCATTCTAATAAAACAATATATCCGCCCTCCAACCACTGTTAGACTGTTATGGACAGACACTAAATCTAAGTTCCCAATGGCAAAAAAAAGAGTAGCCGAACAATAAATCAATAAACAAATGCAACTATTTGCTCAGGGAAGAATCGATAATGATAGGTATAGCGAAAAGTATACTCAAGAAAAGCGCCCTTTGATTTGCAAATCACAGAATTAAGTCGCGACTTACCTAATGAACCTCAGTCATGTTGTCGTAGGCCGAGAGCTCTGTCCAAACATCAACCATCATGCAAACATCCAAACAAACGTCCAGATCTTCAAAGGCTGCTACTCCCGGCCTAGTGAAGTATGTCATTTCCTGACAATCACCGCTTGCGGGACAGATGTAGGCTTTGTGCTCCTTCTTGCATCTCACTAAAATAAAAGACTGACCGTTAAACGAAAACACTAAAAGTAGCAACATATTCAAACGGACCGGTGAACAGCATCAGGTTAAACATATATAAACAAAGACATATATATATAATTATATATATATATTACAACAACAAGGACAATAAAATTCCAGCTCACGTTTCGCCCAGCCATTGCATACGGGAACACAGTTGGTGTAGTCGGAAAATTTTCCTTCTCTCTTCCTAATCTGAAAGCATTTCTTCCGAGCATATTTGCACACTTGGAAGGACGTCGCAGGGCTGTTTTCCACTAAAATATAAGGAAAAAGCGAACATTAGATACACAATGACTCAATGACAAAAAGCATTTACTGATGTCTATCAACGTAAGGCAATATTTGAGATTATAACAGGACGACATCGCAAGAATGAGTAAGACGTACCCCTTTCGACCACCTGACACGCCTGAACGCACATCACATGTCTGTCGTAGTTTTTGTCGTAGCCCTTTCGTCCAAAGACGTCGTACGCAGTGCACGGCTTGTCAGACCCTTCACAATAGTAGGCTGTCGTTTTTTCAGTTAGGTCACCTGGAGGAAAAGATAGTGCTCGAGGTTTACGGTGCATGTTTTGCCGGGCGGAGATCGGCAGATTAACAAAACGTTCGTAGGCGCATGCATTTTAATTAAATGCTGACCTCGTTGTTCAGCACATTGCTGGCGACAGCTTGAGCCCTTGCTTGTATCTCCAGGGCTGTAGAGCACAGATGTGCATTCTGTATGTTCGCCTCTGCATAGTTCGTATGTCGGTGTTTCTTGTGTGCTTGCTAAAGATAAAATTGATAGAGTGGATCGGTAAATACTTAGGA